TGACATACTTTGGACATGTTGCCAGGAGGGACGGGTCCTTGGAGAGGGACATCATGCTTGGGAGGGTGGAGGGACAGCGCAGGAGGGGAAGACCCTCTATGAGATGGATTGATTCGGTGACTGGGGTAATCGGGATGGGTGTGTCAGAGGCGGTGCGGTTGGCGCAGGATAGAGCAGGGTTTAGGGCTGTTGTGCATAGGGTCGCTATGAGTCGGAAACGACTCGATGGCACATAACAACAACACAACATGTACCATTGAGTCAGCTGCGACTCATAGTGATCTTATCCTGAGCCAATCTCCCTATTTCTGACACATCTGCCCCCATTGTCACAGTCACTGTGTCAGTCCGTGTCATCAAGGGTTTTCCTCACCTGCGCTGTCTCTCCACACCTCCAGACATGTTGTCCTTCAAAGACCAGTCCCTCCAGGCACTATGTGAGACAAAGTTTAAAAACCCTTGCCTTCATAAAGCAACTTGGCTTCATCCTCTCCAGAACAAACCTAATTGTTCTCTTGGCAGTTCGTAGAATGTTCAAGAATCTTCTCCAGCATCACAACTCAAAGGCATCCACTCTTCTGTCATCCGTAGTCGCTGCTCAGCATTCTAATGCATAGCAAGTAATTGCAAAGACCATGGCCTGTATCAGGCACACCTTGGTCTCTAGACTGACATTGTTGCCAGAGGTCCCTGACAGGATATTTTCCTAAGGCAATTCTCTTTTGATTTTCTCACTGCTGTGCCAAGAGAGTTGATTGTGGAACCAAGTACTCTGAAATTGTTAACAATCTCTTCTCTGTTTACCATGATAATGTCAATTGGCCCAGTGGTGAGAATATTTGTTTCCTTGAAGTTGAGCTTTGACCCTTATTGAAGACTTGATCCATATTGAAGAGCTATATTGATGTTTTTTGACCTTCTGCATCAAGCGAGTCAGGTCCTCCTGTTTCAGCAAGCAAGGTTGTGTCATCTGCTTAACATAGGTTGTTGAGTCTTCTTCCTCCAATTCTGATGCCACACTTGTCCTCATGAAGTCCAGCCTCCTGAATGCTGTTTTACATATATATTGAGAAGGTATGGAGACTGGATGCATCACTCACACATTCCTTTCCTGATTTTGAACCATGCAGTGTTTCCTTGCTCTTTCTGACAACTGCTTCTTGTTCAATAATATAGATTTCACATGAGCACAATCATGTGTTCTGGGATTCCCATTCTTCTTAAGGTTAGTCACAATTTGTAATGATCCACACGTTCAAATGCCTTTGCATATTCATTGAAACACAGATAATCATTCCTCTGGTACGGCTTTCAGCCAAGTTCCCTCTGATACTGGCAATACTGTGCCTAGTGCCACATCCTCTTCTGAGGCCAGCTTTTATTTCTGGCAGTTCTCTGTCAATGCATCATTTCAGTCATTTTTGGATAATCTTCAGCAAGATTTTGCTTGCAGGTGTTATCAGTGATATTGTTCAATAATTTCCACACTCTGTTGGATCACCTTTTTTGGGAATGGGAAAAAATAAGGATATGACTAAAATTCATGCTCTAAGATGAAGGAAGTTCCCTGTTCTAGCACACTGTCACATTGCACAGAGTATCACTTTTTTTAGATTCATGCATTAAAAAAGCTAAGATGATCCTTTGCTAATGTTACCTAAATGTACTCAATCCCCTAGATTTTGTGTTGAAAATGTGGATCAAGAATGTGAGCAGGAGACAGGTGAGAAACACGAAATGGAAGCCTCAGGAGGCTCCACAGGAGAATGGAATGAAGATCCATCCACCTCGGTTCTCCCTAAACCCAAGAAAAAGAAATCTCTTTCCAATGAATTGAGTAGTAGTGATTCTGAAGAGACAACTGTAAACCCAAGTGTCTCCAAGGGGAAGAAACCTTCCCCCAAAGAGGAACCAGAGGGTCTTGAAGAGGCTAGAGTGTCCCAAAGAAAAAGTAGCTCTCCAAGGAGGAGCCAGTTAGCTATGGACCTGAAGAGGCTGCCTGAGGGAAAAAAAAGAACCCCCGAAACCCAAATGTTTCCCAATAAAAACAAGAATTAAAAAAATTGTGACTGAATGTGTTTCAGTGAGTATTATGTACTCCAAGGTGAACACACATGAACACACATATTCCAGAAAATCTTTACTACTTATGGTAAGTATCTGAAAGCAAGATAAACTTAATCACAGGACTTTCAACTTCTTTTAGAGGGCATTCCTTGTTATCTGCTGTTGACAAAAGGCAGCCAAGGAGTTTTTCTAGGCGTCATTCCACCATACCAGCAATTTACAAAAGACAGAAACATTTTCTTTCAATTGGAAAAATTAAGTTTATTTAAACTTGGAAAACTGGGGATAAAAATTCATCTTATTACTTAAAAATAAAGGTAGAGAAAAGAAAACAGACATACTTTAAGCTTTAAATGCTCTCAATCCAAAGTTCAAAAGAAGGGCTCAGTTAGCTAAAGTCATTTTCACTGTAGTCGAAATTCAAATTCATTAAATTGGTTCCAAAGGGAAGATCTACCAGGAGCAGCCGGTAGATCCAAACCTCCGAAGACATAGTCTTTGGGTTAGCAGCACTACAACATCAGAACCCCCTTTCACTTTAGTAGTTAATTCTAAATACTTGGTAATTTCAGTTAAGCTTTAAATACACATTACTCAAAAAGGTCTTGTAACAACAAGTTGGTTCTGTATCTGAAAAATCCAGGTAAAATTTCAAGACTAGTGGCAACATAGTGGAATCAGCAGATCCTGTTTACTGTGTGATTCTGGGCAGAGTGACTTCATCATCTGTAAAATGGGTACAATTAACCTACCTCATGGGAATGTCATGAAGATAGAGATAAATGTGTTTTCAAACAGGACACAAGTATGTTCCCCTCCACCCTCTGGTGCCAGTCTGAGGTGAAGGGAGTTTTCTAAACACAAGGTACTGTACACATCTAATTCTTTTGTGTGTGTGTCATAACAAGAAAAAGGTCTAAGACTTACTCTTAGGAAGACAATGTCTTAAAGCTTCACTTCTGACATTTGTTCTTTTTTTTTTTTTTTTTATTTTTGTGTGTGTGTACCATCAAATCAGATCTGACTGGTACAGGAGGAGATTGTCCCTCCTTCCCCAGCAGAGCACTTCTGACATTTGTAAAGATTCAATACATGGTAGATATTGCCGTTGCCCAAATTTAAGAAAATTTAAATGTAATTATAATGAAAATCTCATTTTATTCCTTAGGATTTGTTAACGGTTTGCTTGTAATATTTAAAAACATGAAACAACTACAGAAAACACAGAGCAGGAGTGAAAAACAGTTGCAAGAAACACGACAATAAACACATGAGTAACTTATTCTGATATAGAATTAGAATAGCGCAGGTCTTTCCAAGGTTAGTTCCCAGCTACAAGAAAACCTAAGGAATTCATGTTTCAAAGTGACAAGGTGCATTTCAAAAGCTAAAAAAGCAAAATATTATTTCCTAAGCATCATACTTTGTATCTCCATATTCATTTGAACAATTTAAAAAGCTGTACCTTCATAGTAGGAAATGAATTTGTCAAACATTGTGCTAACAAAAGAATTTTCTCCAGAGCAGAAACATTTTTACCTTCAAGTGGTTTCTTTTGTGTGCAGCATTCATTGACCCTTAAATTAGGAATTTCCTTTCAAGGGGCAAAATGTTTATTGAGTACATGTAATAAGTGCTAGACTTATAAAGGTGTATTTCTCTTGTTTCAAACAACCCAGAACATTCTAGGAGGTATTTGTAAAACTTTTACTTTAGTCAGATCTGATTTGATACTACTTTAGCTTATACATATAAAACATGTAACTATGGAAATTTTGAGTTACAAAGGATTCTCTTTTCATTTTTCCACTCACTCACTTAATTCAAATGGAATCAAAGATACTTGAAACAAGAAACTGACATAAACAATTAATCGTTCAGTTAAATAACCTGAGCTCTAAAATCTAACCTAAACATAACTGACTCTTTTAAAAATCATAACATGATTAAAATCATGTTGGCTACAAAGTGTCTGAGGCCCACAATTACTTTTATGATTAGGAAAGAAAGTTGACTTTTAAAAAATAATGTGTTTATATGGTGAGACTTAACCTAGTTTACAATGAAAATTGGTTATATTAAGTTCCTATCTCCACAAAGCAATAAATTATCAGGCACAAAACACAGATCAACATTTTTTTTAAACAATTAGAATTTAGATTATATTTCACACTTAAATTATACTGAATGAAATTCTATTATAGGGTCAATTAAAGCTTTAATGTTATCATGAACATCAAATATTTTCACTTTCTTGAGAATTTATTTGGGATGGCTTGATCCAATTTAATTAAATTTAAGTTCAGAATTAAACAAGTAAACAAAATTTTTACTTTTGCCCTTGTGGTTATATGAATGGAATAAAGCAGACACTTTCATTTCTATTTAAACATGACAGGAGGAGGCCAGAGTAAATGTTGAGAGACAATTATTTTTACTTAGCAGATTACAAGCAATAAAAGGACAAATTCCCCAAACATGAGCCATCGTATGTAATCTCGAGGGGCCTCTAGTCATCTTATGATGGCATCTGTGTTGTCTGTGAGAAATAAGGAAGTGCAAATAACATTTGACCCAATTTAACCAACATGTAACTTTCTTTGCTTTTCTAAAAATAGAAAAATAAAACATCAGCAAGACCATAACTTATGGCTATGAACATGAATATGTATGAAAAAATCGAATGTCCCAAAGGGAAATTAACTCCAGTTTTCAAGATGTAGTAGATAAAAAGGAAAATCAGTCATTAACATTGAAATGTTAAAACCAAGTCAGTACTGCTAGGACAGATGGACAGGTGCATTTTGCTGCCTGAAAAGCATTACAGTGATCAGCTCACCATCACATTTTCGCAAAGATCTGTAAGCTGGTGTTTAAGAAAGCCTGACTTCATGCACATACAATGTCGATATGGCTGGCTTCCAGGGAAGAGATCAAGAAAGGAGCCAGACATGTTTGGCTCGGTTCTGATCCTGGCTAAGTGGCGTGGTCTGGGGCATGTGAAGGGCAGGTGGTGACCAGCCAGGCTCTCGTGTTAGCTGCAGTGTGGAGCCGAATTTGAAGTACTCGCTGTTAAATGTAGATTCCCGGTTTGCTCTTGATGGGCATGAAGATGTTCCAAAGTCTCCTTGGAGAGTGTGATTACATGCACAGGCTCAGTCTGGGATGGCTCCATCTGGCTTTCAATCATATTGAGGCTTGGGATGTGTTCCGTTTGCTCCTGCTGCGCTGAGAGGATTAAATTCTGCAGCTGCTCCGGCTGCGGCGTGAGCAGGGTGAGATTCGCGGCCTGCTCGGTGGTCATGCCCTGCGAACTCTCAGCAGTGACGATGCTGATTCCCTGGCTGGGGCCTGGCATGAAATTGATATTATGTACAGAATCGGTTACGAGGAGCTGGATTTCCTGCTCTCCGGAGGCAGAGAGTTGATACGGCTGCAGCTGGAGAATGTTCCTGACCTCTTCAGTATTATTTGTGCCGGCAACACTGCTGGTGTCTGGCGTATGTTTCTCTTTGCTGTGGATTTTCAAGTGAGCCTTCAAGTTGTCCAAGCGGGAGAACTGTAAGTTACACTCGGGGCAGGAGAAGGGCTTTTTGCCAGTGTGCAGGATGCAGTGTCTCCTCTTGGCACTGGAGTCAGAGAAAGACTTGCCACATATGCCACAGGTGTACGGTTTCTCTCCTCTACAAGAAAACAGACATTTTATTTTTAAAATGGAAATGTCATTTATTCTTTGCTTGATAATTTAGGGAGAAATAGAATAACAGAGAGAAAAAAAAGAACTACACTGGAAATTATAAATCATTGCCTCTCCTACTGATTTAAGGATGTGGAGCATGTCATATGTCTCCTGGCTTCTGTTTCTAATTAGAAAATAAACATAAATAAAGTGGTGGTGCTGCTGAAGAAAGTGAAGTGAATAAGGTTGGGATAAATGTGATAGTTTTAGGACTCTACAGTATGATTTTAGATAAGAAAGTAAATATTTATCTACTAGACAAACAGTTCTTTGTTTTCAGTTCTCAATTTTTAGACAATAATGACATATATATACACACATACATACACACACATACACATATATGACTATGTATTTGAGTTATGAAATTCAAGCAGTTCCTAATTATTTCTGTGAGAAAAACTCTCAGATCCAATTTTGGAAGTAATCTGTGTGAATGAGCTAATTATTTACAGCACAGTAGTTAAATTTAGGTTTACATTGTAGACAAGTTCCTGGCCCCAAAATAAAAAAGAAATAAATGGAATTATAATGTAGAACTTTTATGGACCGAAATCAGTTTTCCTCTAAGTGAGGAATTTCTTTATTAAAAATAGAGGGGAAGGGGTAATAAACTACACAGATAATTCTACCAGAGCTAATTTTGTGGAAAGGCCTATTTAGGTATTTAGGTAGTATACTACCCCAACGAAGACTGAGACTGAGTGAGGACCTCATGCAAAAAACATTATAACTTTACCTGTGGATTCTGATGTGAGTCTGAAGAGAACTCTTTGCTGTGAAAGATTTGCCACAGATTTCACAAGTGAATGGTTTTTCACCTACAAAAAGGGGAAAGGATTTCAAAATGTATTTTGGGGGGAAAAAACCCCACAACCAAACCAAAGAACAAACACTACCCCATTGTTTCACAATATATATGTATAAAAAGAACAAAGACAGCAGCATATCATTTGAACTCTCAAGAAGCATAAATGAATACATGAAGCATTTATCAAGCACTTACAATGGACTGTATATGCTAGATGCTAAGAGGACAAACAATAGGTAAGATACAGTTAATTCTTTCTCTTAAAAATTTTAAGTGAGATCCAAGATGGCGGCCGAGGCAGAGACAGCGTGGTGAGCTGCGGGAGCAGTGAACCACTTAAAGCAGGGCCATTATGGCCTTCCACAGACTTCAGCTTATTGATAATTGAACACTTAAACAGTTGATGACTGGCCCTCAGTGAAGATTGAGGCTCAACAACAGGAATTCAAGGATTCCCAAGGAGAAATGGGTGAGTCTCGTGGCTCCCAACACCTCCCCCCCACCCCCAGCAGAGCCCTAGCCGTGCTGAACAGCCGCTGCAGCTCCATGAGGCTTCTACAGCCGGAACGAATAGATTCCCTCACCCAGGATGGATGCTGGGCACTGGACCTCCTCAAGACTGGTACAGCGAAGCCACCACACTGCCGCAAGGTGGACTTGTTCTGGAGAGAATTCTTGGAGCCAGGATGGCGGCTGTGGGGGAAGCGGGTGCCCGCTGGCCGCCCACACAAGAGGGACTGCGCACACGCCGATGCGGTGGGGTGGGGTGGCACGCCCCCAGCAGCCCCTTGTGCTGCGGGGGGGAGGGGGGGTTGCCACGTGCCTCCTGCTGGCTGCCTGCGTAGGAGGTGGGGGATGGGATGCATGCCCGCCATCTGCAGGTTTGGGTTTCCTTGGACAGGCCAAAGAAGACGATTACCTATAGAATGGATTGCTGAAAGTCACTGTGAGTTTGATGACCTTAACAGTGACAGCATGCACAAGAGGACCGACATCCTAAATGCACCACATATTTTGTTCTGTTGAATGCTTCTGCCAAAAGATGGTTAGACCTGAGGGGAGTCTGTTCACAATTCTCAGGTTCCTTTTATCATATATAAAGTGGGAGGGCAGTGACACCTACTTCAAAATATAGTATGACCACTTATGGGGGGTGTAAAAGTGGCAGTGCTGTAATTGGAAACACTATCCCTGACCACAGAGTCCTCAGTCAGGCGAGGGGACCAGACTGGGGTAGGGGCAATTGGAGGGGGAGTTTACCAGCTAGCTCCTGGGGTTGTTGCCCTGCTTGGGACGGGCTGCCCTTGGCCCCTGACTTGGGGCGAGCCATCGTGACCCTCTGCCCGGGGCGGGCTACCCTCGGCCCTCGGCTCGGGGTGAGCCGTCGCGGCCCTCAGGGTGAGCTCCTCAGTCCCCAGATTGTGCCATCTGACCCCTAGGTGGGTAAGGGGAAAAAAAAAAAAAAAAAAAGAATGTCTAGGGTATCCAAAGAATATTACCTAGGCCACCTTCCGCCACCCTCCCCCGTAGTAAACCTGAAAACAACACCCTCAAAGTCCTTCTATTTGTAACTCACAAGTTTGTTCTCTCTAGGTTTGCTCCCTTTCCTATAGGTAACCTTAACACTGAGTTTTACTCCAGAATTGACCCTGAACCCAGTGCCAGTGACAAAAAGGAAATACAACTGACAGCTAAGGAAGCAAAGGAGGATGGAGCCTCTGGGTTCAACCAGCCATCCCCACTGGACCCACCTGGGAAAACACTTTGCAGGCCAGAGGGGAGCAAATGACAGGAAAATCTTCTAACAGAGCAAGAAGGCAAGCAGCTGTAACCCAAGATCACCAGTAAGGTGATAAAGCGTCCTCCCTTCCCCCCTTTACATCTACGCCCCTGTTCAGCATGAAGAAGCCAGAGAGTCGGCATCCAATTCCCAAATCAATAAGACGGTTGGTTTAATTACCATTGGAAAATGCTTGTCATTCCTCTGTAGCATCTGGTCCCCACTGGATCCTCATCATTTCCTTCACCTGCTCCCCCCACCGACCAAACTGTGCAGCTCTGCAACTGCATCCTGGCCCATCCTCACCCTTCTGCCCCCAACCCTCACCTCCTTGTACCGCCAATATGTTTTTCCCAATAAAAAAAAAATTTAAGTGAATAAGAAGGTGAGTGACTACACGTAGGAAACAAAGCAACACATCATATTTACTCCTGGATTTTATACCTTTAAATACAGTAAATTTCACACTTTATAGCCTCCAAAGAACTTCCCATAAAGATTATTAGCTCACTTTTCTCTGAAAATGACCGGCGCACCAGAGCGAACAGAAAGTATTCACATTTGTATACCTTCCAAACATACCCAAAATCTGACTATTGCTTATCACTTGTACTGCCAGCCTACCTAATTCCTGTTCTGTGACAGTATCATAGGGAGTCTTCATCCTACAGCAAACTCCCTACTAGTTCACCACTCAGCAGTAAAAGCCAAAGTCCTTGTCCTGCAAGGAATCACAAGTCTAAATATTTTACTCCTCAATTGTCCTTAACTGTATCTACCACTTTCTCTGGATCATCACACTCCAGCCTCTCTGGCATCCTTGATGGTCACCAAACACCAAACAAGTCTTCACTTGGGGCCTGTGCACTCACTATCAATAAATAAAGATGACAGAAGAGCTGATGCCTTCGAACTGTGATGCTGGGGTACAGAACACCCCATAGACTGCCAAGAGAACAAACGAGTCTGTCTTGGAGGAAGGAGACGGAGCGAGCTTCTTGGAGACGAGGATGGTGTAATTTTATTTCACATACTTTGGACATGTTGTCAGGAGGGATCAGTTCTGGAAAAAGACACCATGCTGGAAAAGGTGGAAGGTCAGAGAAAGACCCTCAAGATGGACTGACACAGTGACTGAAGGTGGCAGATAACGAGGATGGCACAGGCTAAGACACGGTTTAGAAATGTCTAGTTGACTAAGTAGCTCCTAACAACAATATCAACAGCATCACCCCTCCACCTGGAATGGCTCACCGGCTATCTCCACTAAACTTCTGTTAACTGTTACATCACCAGTGCGGTTTTATCCACTTCCCCCGTCTTTGAAGCTTTTGATTGGCTTCTCTGCTTTAGTCCACCCACAAGGCTCTCACCATCCATATTCTATATATTTTGTTTATTGTCTAGATCTTGTCCTTCTAATGCAAGACAGTTTGTGAACTTGTTCTCCTATTTCCCCAGTGCCTAGAACAGGGTCTTGATACTGTTCAAGAAATCCCTATTGAATGGCTGGATTTTACAGGTGTGGAAACTGAGGCCCATACAGACATTGTAGCTGTTCCAAATAGCACTGCTTATTAATACCAGTGAGCATCAGTGTTAGCCTTCATGTCCTTCAGAAACAAAATTAAGTGATCGGAAAGCAAACAAAAGAATTGTGAGTTAAAAAAAAAGGAAGGAGGGAGCTCTGGTGGCCTAGTGGCAAGACACTGCACTGCAATCCCAAAGGTATGCGGTTCAAATCCACCAGATGCTCTGCTGGAGAAGGAAGGGGCAATCTCCTCCTGTACCAGTCAGATCTGATTTGATGGTACACGTAAAAATAATACAATTTAAAAAAAAAATTTAAAAAAAAAGGAAGGAAAAGAAAAAAAAAAAGGAAGGAAAAAAAGCAAGTGAACTTTACTTATCCAGATAACAATAAAGAATGAATACAATTTGGAGAATGAGCAGCTAGCATTCCTTTTCTCAGGGCCTATTAGAAAATTTAAGGTGCTTGGGTTGTGCAACGGCTACAGGTTGAGTTATTAACCGAAAGAATGTCAGTTTGAATGCACCTAGAGGCTCTATGGGAGAACCTTGTAATCTGCTATCAAAAAGATTATAGGCAAAAAACTGCAATGGGGCATTTATACTCTGTCACATGAGGCCATTATCCATCAAACACATAATAATAGCCAACCACCATGGGGAAATACAGGTTGGCCACTTCTCCAAGCTGCACTAGGGAAAAGGGCACATGCACTTGGAAAAATCTGCACCTAAGGCCCTCTATGAGGTGGATTGATTCAGTGACTGGGATAATCGGGATGGGAGTGTCAGAGACAGTGCAATTGGCGCAGGATAGAGCAGAGTTTAGGGCTGTTGTACATAGGGTCGCTATGAGTTGCAAGCGACTCGACGGCACATAACAATAACAACAACATGCATCATTAACTCCAAGAGTAAAACCAGGCCACTGCCATTTTCCCCATAGCGTTCCAAATAAGAGCATGGGGCTTACTATGCCATTGGCTGTCTTCCTCACCAGATTCAAAGATGAGTATCTAAAGGCAGCTCTGGAGGCCTAGTGGCAAGAAGCTGCGCTGCAATCCCGAAGGTGCGCAGTTCGAATCCACCAGACACTCTGCTGGAGAAGGAGGGGCAGATCCAACTCAATGACACATAATGAGAAAAAAAAATGGTCAAAAATTAGTACCTCGTCTGTTTATTTATACTGCAAAATTCTATGAAGCCCTTTCACTGTGACTGATTTATTCCTGATCAGATACTCAAAACATTTTGATCTGAATTTACAACACCTCAGTAAGTTGTTTTCTTGGCACAGATTTTTAAAGGACAAACATTCAAAATAACAGAAATTCCTTCCAGAAACAACATCCTCTGCCTAAAGCTTTTTGACAGAGTGATCTGGACTGGAAGACACATTTTTCTAGCCCATGTGAATTTGGAGAAAGTTGTCCTGTTTCCTTAGCTTCTAATCTGTCTCATACTACCTTCAGTTAATGGACCTGTTCATTTTAAGTTTATTCCATTCTAAAAGTGACCGATCATTGCCAAAGTAATAAAAACTGCCCTCAGAGCTAAGTAACAAAAGCAATGTTCACTGCCTCAAACAGAATTCGAAGTCTGGTTAACAAAATGTGCAGGTAACACAGGGCTGTACTTGACCAAACATGAAAAGGAATGGTTATCAATAATACTGAGTTCAGAAAAGATGATGGATAAAG